TGTTGGATTCTTAATGCTTGGTTGTTGTATAAGCTTGTGTGCAATTTCCATTTTCTTTTATCTTCGAACCAGAGCATGAGTTCATAAGTTTTTGCTGAAACAGAATGGTGAAATAAAGGCTTTTGAAAAAGACGTATTCGAAACGTCAGGCAATAGAGATTCCACCACAACTGGGTTTGGCAAAATACTGATGAACATTAAGTTTGTGAGTTTGTTTTTCTAACTTAAAAAGAGATAAAAATTTAGAAACTTTAGCAATGGCTTACACATCTTTGAAGAGAACAGGACATTGCTCTATGATATGTTATGCTTTGTTTTCTCATCAAGATTTAAATAGTTTAAAAGCCATAGAAAATGAATAAATTGTGAGGTGAATAAAGCTGAAATTTAGAACTTGTTCTTTTTGGAAATCCAAAACCTCAGAGATAGCTGAAATTCTACCAAGTGGAGTTTATTAATATGGTACGAAAATCACATCCGTTTCTTTGGAATTGTAGTAGGCAAAAGAAAGAATTGCCAAAGTCGCAGGTTTGAAAAATACACAGTGAAGTGAAGTCCATTCAAATTTTTACAGGACATCAACATCAGTTGAAATGCTATGTCATCCATCTGCTACACGATAATGATTTTAAAAAAATTCCCATATTTGCAGTATCACAGTCTGCATCATAAATTCAAAATGATCCCGTTCGATACTTTATAAAATTGCGGGAATTGTGCTTTAACCGTAACCTTGTGAAAATCTTGGCAAAATGGCCACTTTTATAAGTGAGTCAGTAAATACTCCTTCGCGATCGAAGAGATATAAATAACCAGAACATACCAACAGTGATTAGCTGCTCCAAAGATTTATTGGGCGTGTAAGCAATGACGATATCCTTGTCTTTGGAAATACTGTCGATCTAAAAAATTTTGGTAGTAATTTAGGAAGACCCTATCGGATAATATTTCTAAAGAGTCTTTGGTAGGAGTAAATGTTAGGCGTTACGAAAGAAAGGAAAAAGGAAAACTTTTATATACGCTCAATTATCCTTTCATGAACTCAGGAGCAAAAAAAGGTCACCCAGAGGATATATCTAGTTCTGTTCTAAGCACAAACAAGTAGGGCAGCAAAGGATTCTTTTCTGATGAGTAAATTTATCCATTGATTTTCTCGAAATGTTCAATTACAAACCTTTACAAAGGGACCAGGAGTATCTCTAGGCGAAGGCTTGTCCTCTAAATTATGGCATTTGTTGGTAACAAAAACATGAAATTTGCAAACGTACGTACCCATCTCTTCTTCCCCTGAAACGTCCTTCAACCCAGTCTCCTCGATTTCTTCATCTTTATCTCTTTCAGTATCATGTGAGTGTGAACCTTGTCCGCGATCGTCCGTAATCCTTGCAACACCAGCATTGTCTAATTCAGCTCGTTTTGAATCCGTCTGCCCGTCATGCGGTAGCAGCGCATCATTTTCTGAC